CCCCAAAACCCCAAAACCCCAAAACCCCAAAACCCCAAAACCCCATATTCATAATAATTTTGAAAGAAATAATATTACTCTCATTTTTATCACTCGTGAGGGAGTTTATACAAATAATAGCACTAATTTAGCCGAACCTAAACTCGAATTGACTGCCTCCGGGACTTCCTCTTTTAAAGAATTGTTGGCCTCCGCCCATTCCACCTCCCATGCCTCCAAATCCAGAATCACCCATGCCGCCCATGCCTCCACCGAAGAACATGTTGAAGATTTGGGTTGGGTCCATTCCTGCTCCACCTGAGAATCCACCGCCGCCACCACCTTCGATATCTTCTACATCAACTCCTGAGTCGTACCGGGCTTTCTTGTTCTCATCACTAAGAATGACATATGCTTCATTGATGTCTTTAAACATCTTTTCTGCCTTGGCTTTCTCAGCTTCGCTTCCTGAGTTCTTATCTGGATGCCATCTCAGAGCTGATTTCTTGTACGCCTTTTTGATTTCAGTGGGAGTAGCATCCCGGCTGATCCCCAAAGTTTTGTACAAATCTTTCTTTTTAGACTGCTTTAGCCTTACTTGGGCATTCTTGAGCTTGCTCTTTACACCAAACTCTCCTGGACTTATCCTGTCAGCAGATGAGAAATCTCTTACTGCCTCTTCAAAGTTTTCTAAAAGGAGTTGCACCTCTCCTCTTTTGACGTAAGCTTTGGCGTAGTCATCTTTTCACTCAATAGCTTTGTTCAGAACTTCTAGAGCCTTCTCATTCTGCTTTAGCTTTGTATGTCAGATAGCAATATTCAAGTAAATTGAGGAATTGTAGGTCTTATTGTTAGGGAATAAATCTAAACAAGCATTGAATCCCTCAATAGCTTCTTCGTATTTATTGTCTTTGAACAAATCACTAGCTTCTGTTTTCAAAGTCTCAGTCCGTTTAATCTTTTTCAAGGCCTTTTGACAAGTGAGATAATCTGGATCGTTTTTGAGAGCTTGCACAAAGAATTTCTTTGCCTGATCCATTCTTCCATCATTAGCTAGTACCATTCCTCTGAGATACAGATACTTTGGATTTGAATTCATTGAGTCGAACATTGATTGAGACACTCTCATTGCGTTCTCAGTCTGTCCTGCCTCCATCATGTATTCTAACTGGTTGAGCTGCAGTTCCTTAGATCCTGGTCAATGCCTGATCATCTCTGTAGTGAAGTATAATGCAGAAGACCAATTCTTGTTATCAATAGCTTTGGCCAATGCGCTATCCGATATAGCCAAATCCTTTATCACTTTCACCTCGTTTTCCAACTCTTTTGAAAATTTCTTGTCTAACTGAGCTGCTTCATCAATGCATTGTTGGGCGTCTTTCAGCTCCCCCAAAGCTATCAATCCCTGTATGAGCCTTTTGATGACCTTAATGTAATCAGGCTTTATAGCAATAGCAGAACGGCAGTCTGCTACTGCTTCCTCATATTTAGACAATTTCATATATCATGCTGCTCTATTGCCGTACAATTGTTCGCTCTTCTCTTCTAGGAGACCTTCTGTGTAATGAGCGATGGCTGCCTGGAAGTTGCCTTTCTTAAATTCAGTATTTCCTTTATCCTTAAAAGTTTCGGTCGACTCCATTGTGAAAATTAACTAATATTATAAATTCCATTTTCTTCTGGAAGATAGGGGTTTTGGGGTTTTGGGGTTTTGGGGTTTTGGGGTTTTGGGGTTTTGGGG